AACGTATAAAAAAAAATCATTAATAAATTGTGTAACGATCTACAAACTCGGGGCACTCGGGACGTTCCTACCTCGACAATCATGCTCATTAATTGTACCGTATGTTTCCGAAAATAAGCTTATTTTCGGTTTTTAATCAATTGCGCCAAATTTTATTAAGTAAATCGGTCCTTGGATATATTCTGAAAGGTTTATGTAAATGGATAACTTTTATTATTTGACTTCAGATTTTTACGTTCAACGAATACGTATGAATTTTAAAGAATTTTTCTTAATTTTTTCGTTAAACACAATTTTAAAAATGATTAATAAAAAGTTATCCAATTTGGATAAAACTTTCAGAATGTACGTATATATTTTGATCTTCCCAACAACTTACCGTAATAGGCCAAGATCGATTTACTTAGTAAAATTTTGACTTTACTATATAGCAACGGTTATCGATCGTGGGGGTAACTTATTTTCGGGTTAAAGACTGTTTTGAGTTTTTGGTTCAAAAGAAGGGGGAAGCTTATTTTTTGATGTAGCTTATTTTCGGAAACATACGGTATGTACGTACGTATGTATATGACTTGGTTTTATTTTTTAAGAAACTTTTTTCTGTATCATCGTCTCTGACTGCATACGCTCTAGATAATTGTTACGTTTAACTAAGTTTATTAACCAATCAAATTATATTTAATTTGATCGATCAAGTGATTGTGTTTGTTGCCCGAAAAGAGGGTAATAATGTCAATCATTTTCAGCCATAAATCCAATATTGTTTATGCTAGTTCGACGGGTGATTTCAGGCTTTACTAGTGTCAGAACATGCAAAACGTTCAATTTGACAATAAAAAAGGCAAAAAAAAAGAACTTTGCATTACCAGCAATGATGATTCGAGTAGTGGAACTAATGTCAAATATGAAGAAGATATAATTCACAAAAAAATTGGGTCTTCTAGCGTTGAGGAACAAAATAAATGTAAGTCTTAATTGTAAATAAAATTTTTGCTTTACCCAAAATGTATTTTTATTAAAGAGTATGTTTTATAATTATTAACATGAATGGTATTCATCAAAGTAAGATTAAAGATTGATAAAACTTCATATCGTACGACAATTAATACAGTTCTTAATAAAGGTATTTTTACAGTTAAAAGAGGATTATCATGAAACTTAATATTAAAACTTTTTATAACAGAAATAGAAGAGCAGGTGGCAATAAATGTAGATTTACTCTGTATGTTCTGTTTCATCATTTAATAGTAATTCAATAATTCTATAATAACCAAATTATTGAATTAATATATTATAAAGCATCCGGAAACCCCATTCCAGGTATATATATGCTAAACCTTAAAATAATTCATATTAATTTTCTATTTAACTTTTATGAATATTATCTTTCATTCATTTGAACAGACAAAATGCTTGTCCAGATTAAATCATTAGAATTTAATCCATTACGACAACCAAATTCTAATGCTAATAAATCAATTCGCCTTGTTATCCATTCAGTAACTTACCATACTAAACCAAGTACCTCACTCGAAGAACAATTGAAAAAAATGTTTCTTTTTCCTTTTGATTATCATTCATTGGTTTTTGATTCAATGAAGATAGATATTTATGATTACGGGTTATTTTTAAATACAAAGAAAAAACTTGGGCGTGCTATTATACAATTAAATACTTTAAAGCAAGCCATTATTGATCAAAGAGAATTTGAAAGGTAACACACACACTATATATATATATATATATGGTCAACTCTCTCTAAACTGTAACCTATATGCAGTAAACCAATCTTTAAAATTTTACACTTTTTAAATTGAATTTTTGTTTTATAAGTCTGAGGGTTCGATATAGAGAGTCAACTGCATAGATTTATTTATTTAAAAATATTCACCTAAACTAACACAAGGTTATTCACCCTATTATAATGAAATCTCTAGAACTCTTCCACTTGAAATTAAGGAATTTCCGCATATGCAGGAAGTTGGTAGCATCAAAATAAACATAAGATTCCATTTCCCTGATGACCCGCCCCTAACATCCCCAATACATTCTCGTCCACCAGCAACAGCACCTCCAGTTCTTAATAGTAGAGATCTCACAACCGAAACTGATGATATAGATGAATTCGATTGTGCTAATATTTTAATGGATCCTGAAGTAAGATCTCTTGGCATACTTGATATAGTACTATGTCAGGAAACTAGAGAAGCAATTAAAGAGATTAAAGTACTTTATAAATCATTTTTTGATAATGGATGGACGCTAACCAAATTAGAATTTTTAGAAGCATATATGTTATTAGAAAAATATTATGAACAAAAGCCCAAGTAAGGAAATGTAAAATGACAAAGTCTTAATTAAAAATAATTAAGATTTATGTATGTTTTTTAAATTAAACAATATACATTTTTAATAATAGTCCAGTTACGGGAATTTTGATTCATGATGTGGATAGAATGCAAAAAGCTCAAAGATATTTAAAATTTTCAATGGCTTCATATGTACATAATTAAAATTTTGTCATTTATAAGTCATTACTTTAGTTATAGGAAAATAGATTGATCATAATTTTTAATTGTATAGGGGTCTTTTTTATTTCATTGGTTTGGATATGGACATAATATGGCACCATTAAGTATATAATTTTTTATTAATCTTGTATTTATATTATTTATTATTTATATTATTTAATATATTATCTAATATTATTGTTTTGTATTATGATTTATTATACATAAATGTTATTATAGATGCAATTAGATTGAATTCTGACCGAAAAGTTGTACAAGATTTTTTTGGCCTTGATAAAAATGATTTCATTTGTTGGGAGTATGGACAAAATACCGTTTCTGTACCTAATTACATGGTTATTAGAGATCCAGAGACAAATTCTATCATTGTGTCTATTCGAGGAACTATGGTAATATTTTTATTATTAAATATAAAAAAAATTTTTTTTGGCTAATAAATCAAAAAAATTCTCTTTGCAGAGTATTGCTGATGTAATCACCGATGTACTAGCACATTATGAACAATGGAACGGTGCTCTTGTTCATCGTGGAGTATTGCGCAGTGCGCAATATCTAGTAGATCGATCCTTAAATGATATTAGAGCAGCTGTAATAAAATTTAATGCAAATTCCATAAACATAACAGGTCATTCATTAGGTGCATCTATATCATCTATTGTAACTCTTCTTTTGCGAGAAAAATGTAAAGATTTGCTTTCACGTGGAATTGATATTCTTGCATGGAATTTCGCAACTGCACCATGCTGTTCACATGATTTAGCACGTAAAACTGAGTCCATAAATTATATTTATAATTTTGTGAACGAGAATGACGTTATTCCAAGGTTGAGTTATGGTAATTTGATGGATTTTAGAGAGTTGATTAAATTTGCTGCTAATGAAATAAAGAATGAGGAATATAAAAAGGTGCGTAAATATTGATTTGTTCAATAAGTGTAAGTAATTTGGTAAATTATAAATATTTTAAATTTATGCTTATTCGATTTTCGTTTATTATTGCTTTAAATTGTTAATACATTAGTTAAAATCGACCGAAAGATTATCTAAAATTTTCTCATCAATCGATTCTTATCGCACAACTTTAAAATCCAATCCATCTAGCCAAAAGCTATACATACCTGGGACAATACATTATTTATATAAAGGGTTTTATCGTTCTCATATGAAATCATCATTAGCATGCTATACTAGAGATATAGTGTGTGAAATATCCACACCAGATTTATTTACAGACATTAGCTTACAGCGAAACTGGCTATTTCATCATTTTCCAGATAGGTACGATAGGAAGTTTAAAGGCGTTATAAAATTTTTGTTAAAAAGAATGAATGATGAAGAAATCGACAAAATAGAAAGTTTTTGGAG